TCACTGTGTGTCTCACCGTGTGTCTCACCGTGTGTCTCACTGTGTGTCTCACCCTGTGTCTCACTGTGTGTCTCACTGTGTGTCTCACCGTGTGTCTCACTGTGTGTCTCACCCTGTGTCTCACTGTGTGTCTCACTGTGTGTCTCACTGTGTGTCTCACTGTGTGTCTCACTGTGTGTCTCACTGTGTGTCTCACCGTGTGTCTCACCCTGTGTCTCACCGTGTGTCTCACTGTGTGTCTCACCCTGTGTCTCACTGTGTGTCTCACTGTGTGTCTCACCGTGTGTCTCACTGTGTGTCTCACTGTGTGTCTCACTGTGTGTCTCACCGTGTGTCTCACCGTGTGTCTCACTGTGTGTCTCACCCTGTGTCTCACTGTGTGTCTCACTGTGTGTCTCACCGTGTGTCTCACCGTGTGTCTCACCGTGTGTCTCACTGTGTGTCTCACTGTGTGTCTCACCGTGTGTCTCACTGTGTGTCTCACCGTGTGTCTCACTGTGTGTCTCACCGTGTGTCTCACTGTGTGTCTCACTGTGTGTCTCACTGTGTGTCTCACTGTGTGTCTCACTGTGTGTCTCACTGTGTGTCTCACCGTGTGTCTCACTGTGTGTCTCACCGTGTGTCTCACTGTGTGTCTCACTGTGTGTCTCACCGTCTGTCTCACTGTGTGTCTCACCGTGTGTCTCACTGTGTGTCTCACTGTGTGTCTCACCGTGTGTCTCACCGTGTGTCTCACTGTGTGTCTCACCCTGTGTCTCACCGTGTGTCTCACCGTGTGTCTCACTGTGTGTCTCACTGTGTGTCTCACTGTGTGTCTCACTGTGTGTCTCACCCTGTGTCTCACCATGTGTCTCACCGTGTGTCTCACTGTGTGTCTCACTGTGTGTCTCACTGTGTGTCTCACCATGTGTCTCACCGTGTGTCTCACTGTGTGTCTCACTGTGTGTCTCACTGTGTGTCTCACCCTGTGTCTCACTGTGTGTCTCACTGTGTGTCTCACTGTGTGTCTCACCGTGTGTCTCACCCTGTGTCTCACCGTGTGTCTCACTGTGTGTCTCACTGTGTGTCTCACTGTGTGTCTCACCGTGTGTCTCACTGTGTGTCTCACCGTGTGTCTCACTGTGTGTCTCACCGTGTGTCTCACTGTGTGTCTCACCCTGTGTCTCACTGTGTGTCTCACCGTGTGTCTCACTCTGTGTCTCACCGTGTGTCTCACTCCGTGTCTCACTGTGTGTCTCACTGTGTGTCTCACTGTGTGTCTCACCCTGTGTCTCACCCTGTGTCTCACCGTGTGTCTCACTGTGTGTGTCTCACCGTGTGTCTCACCGTGTGTCTCACTGTGTGTCTCACCGTGTGTCTCACTGTGTGTCTCACTGTGTGTCTCACTGTGTGTCTCACTGTGTGTCTCACTGTGTGTCTCACTGTGTGTCTCACTGTGTGTCTCACTGTGTGTCTCACCCTGTGTCTCACTGTGTGTCTCACTGTGTCTCACTGTGTGTCTCACTGTGTGTCTCACCGTGTGTCTCACTGTGTGTCTCACCCTGTGTCTCACTGTGTGTCACCGTGTGTCTCACTGTGTGTCTCACCCTGTGTCTCACTGTGTGTCTCACTGTGTGTCTCACCCTGTGTCTCACCGTGTGTCTCTGTGTCTCACTGTGTGTCTCACCGTGTGTCTCACCGTGTGTCTCACTGTGTGTCTCACTGTGTGTCTCACTGTGTGTCTCACTGTGTGTCTCACTGTGTGTCTCACTGTGTGTCTCACTGTGTGTCTCACTGTGTGTCTCACTGTGTCTCACTGTGTGTCTCACTGTGTGTCTCACCCTGTGTCTCACTATGTGTCTCACTGTGTGTCTCACTGTGTGTCTCACTGTGTGTCTCACTGTGTGTCTCACTGTGTGTCTCACCCTGTGTCTCACTGTGTGTCTCACCGTGTGTCTCACCGTGTGTCTCACCGTGTGTCTCACTGTGTGTCTCACTGTGTCTCACCGTGTGTCTCACTGTGTGTCTCACCCTGTGTCTCACTGTGTGTCTCACCGTGTGTCTCACTGTGTGTCTCACTGTGTGTCTCACTGTGTGTCTCACTGTGTGTCTCACCGTGTGTCTCACTGTGTGTCTCACTGTGTGTCTCACTGTGTGTCTCACTGTGTGTCTCACTGTGTGTCTCACTGTGTGTCTCACTGTGTGTCTCACTGTGTGTCTCACTGTGTGTCTCACCGTGTGTCTCACTGTGTGTCTCACCCTGTGTCTCACTCTGTGTCTCACTCTGTGTCTCACTCTGTGTCTCACCGTGTGTCTCACCGTGTGTCTCACTGTGTGTCTCACTGTGTGTCTCACCGTGTGTCTCACTGTGTGTCTCACTGTGTGTCTCACCGTGTGTCTCACCGTGTGTCTCACCGTGTGTCTCACTGTGTGTCTCACCGTGTGTCTCACTGTGTGTCTCACTGTGTGTCTCACTGTGTGTCTCACTGTGTGTCTCACTGTGTGTCTCACTGTGTGTCTCACCCTGTGTCTCACCGTGTGTCTCACTGTGTGTCTCACTGTGTGTCTCACCGTGTGTCTCACTGTGTGTCTCACTGTGTGTCTCACTGTGTGTCTCACTGTGTGTCTCACCGTGTGTCTCACCGTGTGTCTCACTGTGTGTCTCACTGTGTGTCTCACTGTGTGTCTCACTGTGTGTCTCACTGTGTGTCTCACCCTGTGTCTCACCGTGTGTCTCACCGTGTGTCTCACTGTGTGTCTCACCGTGTGTCTCACCGTGTGTCTCACCCTGTGTCTCACCGTGTGTCTCACTGTGTGTCTCACCCTGTGTCTCACTGTGTGTCTCACTGTGTGTCTCACCGTGTGTCTCACCGTGTGTCTCACTGTGTGTCTCACTGTGTGTCTCACCGTGTGTCTCACTGTGTGTCTCACTGTGTGTCTCACTGTGTGTCTCACTGTGTGTCTCACCGTGTGTCTCACCGTGTGTCTCACTGTGTGTCTCACTGTGTGTCTCACCGTGTGTCCCACCCTGTGTCTCACCGTGTGTCTCACTGTGTGTCTCACTGTGTGTCTCACCCTGTGTCTCACTGTGTGTCTCACCATGTGTCTCACCGTGTGTCTCACCGTGTGTCTCACCGTGTGTCTCACTGTGTGTCTCACTGTGTGTCTCACTGTGTGTCTCACCGTGTGTCTCACCCTGTGTCTCACTGTGTGTCTCACTGTGTGTCTCACTGTGTGTCTCACTGTGTGTCTCACTGTGTGTCTCACTGTGTGTCTCACCGTGTGTCTCACCCTGTGTCTCACTGTGTGTCTCACTGTGTGTCTCACTGTGTGTCTCACCGTGTGTCTCACTGTGTGTCTCACCCTGTGTCTCACTGTGTGTCTCACTGTGTGTCTCACTGTGTGTCTCACCGTGTGTCTCACTCTGTGTCTCACTGTGTGTCTCACTGTGTGTCTCACTGTGTGTCTCACTGTGTGTCTCACTGTGTGTCTCACTGTGTGTCTCACTGTGTGTCTCACTGTGTGTCTCACTGTGTGTCTCACTGTGTCTCACCGTGTGTCTCACTGTGTGTCTCACCGTGTGTCTCACCGTGTGTCTCACTGTGTGTCTCACTGTGTGTCTCACCGTGTGTCTCACTGTGTGTCTCACTGTGTGTCTCACTGTGTGTCTCACTGTGTGTCTCACCCTGTGTCTCACCGTGTGTCTCACCGTGTGTCTCACTGTGTGTCTCACCGTGTGTCTCACTGTGTGTCTCACCGTGTGTCTCACCGTGTGTCTCACTGTGTGTCTCACTGTGTGTCTCACCCTGTGTCTCACTGTGTGTCTCACTGTGTGTCTCACTGTGTGTCTCACCGTGTGTCTCACCCTGTGTCTCACCGTGTGTCTCACTGTGTGTCTCACTGTGTGTCTCACTGTGTGTCTCACCCTGTGTCTCACCGTGTGTCTCACTGTGTGTCTCACCGTGTGTCTCACTGTGTCTCACTGTGTGTCTCACTGTGTGTCTCACTGTGTGTCTCACCCTGTGTCTCACCCTGTGTCTCACCGTGTGTCTCACTGTGTGTCTCACTGTGTCTCACTGTGTGTCTCACTGTGTGTCTCACTGTGTGTCTCACTGTGTGTCTCACTGTGTGTCTCACCCTGTGTCTCACTGTGTGTCTCACCCTGTGTCTCACTGTGTGTCTCACTGTGTGTCTCACTGTGTGTCTCACCGTGTGTCTCACTGTGTGTCTCACTGTGTGTCTCACTGTGTGTCTCACCGTGTGTCTCACCGTGTGTCTCACTGTGTGTCTCACTGTGTGTCTCACCCTGTGTCTCACTGTGTGTCTCACTGTGTGTCTCACTGTGTGTCTCACCGTGTGTCTCACTGTGTGTCTCACCGTGTGTCTCACCGTGTGTCTCACTGTGTGTCTCACCGTGTGTCTCACTGTGTGTCTCACTGTGTGTCTCACCGTGTGTCTCACTGTGTGTCTCACTGTGTGTCTCACCGTGTGTCTCACTGTGTGTCTCACTGTGTGTCTCACTGTGTGTCTCACTGTGTGTCTCACTGTGTGTCTCACTGTGTGTCTCACTGTGTGTCTCTGTGTCTCACCCTGTGTCTCACTGTGTGTCTCACTGTGTGTCTCACCGTGTGTCTCACCGTGTGTCTCACCCTGTGTCTCACTGTGTGTCTCACCCTGTGTCTCACTGTGTGTCTCACTGTGTGTCTCACTGTGTGTCTCACCGTGTGTCTCACCGTGTGTCTCACTGTGTGTCTCACTGTGTGTCTCACCGTGTGTCTCACTGTGTGTCTCACCGTGTGTCTCACTGTGTGTCTCACCGTGTGTCTCACTGTGTGTCTCACTGTGTGTCTCACCGTGTGTCTCACTGTGTGTCTCACTGTGTGTCTCACTGTGTGTCTCACTGTGTGTCTCACTGTGTGTCTCACCGTGTGTCTCACTGTGTGTCTCACTGTGTGTCTCACCGTGTGTCTCACTGTGTGTCTCACTGTGTGTCTCACCGTGTGTCTCACTGTGTGTCTCACCGTGTGTCTCACCGTGTCCCCGTGTCCGCGCTCTGTAGGGGGATGCTCCATCCTGGAGACTCTGCGAGACAAAATTGTCTAGGAACGCCAAAGATGGATCAACCTGCACACACAGTGACACACACAGTGACACACAGTGACACAGTGACACACACAGTGACACACACACACAGTGACACACACACACAGTGACACACAGTGACACACACACAGACACACACAGTGACACACACACACAGTGACACACACAGTGACACACACACAGTGACACATACACAGTGACACACACACACACAGTGACACACACACACACAGTGACACACACAGTGATACACACACACAGTGACACACACAGTGACACACACACACAGTGACACACACAGTGATACACACACACAGTGACACACACAGTGACACACACACAGTGACACACACAGTGACACACACAGTGACACACACAGTGATACACACACACACAGTGACACACAGTGACACACACAGTGACACACACAGTGACACACACACATACACAGTCACACACACACAGTGACACACACAGTGAGACACACACACACAGTGACACACACAGTGATACACACACACAGTGACACACACAGTGACACACACACACAGTGACACACACAGTGATACACACACAGTGACACACACAGTGACACACACACAGTGACACACACAGTGACACAACAACAACAACAACCGCCATTCGCCACTAAGTGGCGGTGACGTCACCACGACGCTTGTGCCAGGCTATGTGCACCCTGAGGCCACGTGAAGTGTCGAACGCCCGCTGGCAGGTCACGGGGCAGACCCAGGTGCCACGGGTCGACTGACTGAGATGACTGGCTGATGCACCACCTGTGCCCCCTACTGTGCCAACCTGCTGTGCTTTAGCCACCCGGCGCTCCGCTCGCTGTTGTGAGCGTCGCTCCTCCGCCCTCCGTTGTTGTTGGAGGGCGACTGCCTCCAACTGCCCAGTAGCATCCTTCACGAGCCTCCTCCACAGAGGCCGATCTTGACACCGCTGGTACCAGTCATCGGCAAGTCCACTCAGCTCCACGTCCTCCTGTACCACATCACTCCATCTCTTCTCTAGCCCGTGCCGCGCCCGCTTAGCCCCCTCAATCCGGCCAAACAAAAGCTGTTTCGGCATGCGGTGGCTGGGCATGCGGGCTACATGACCCAGCCATCGCAGCCTTGCCTGCCGGAGGAGCTCACCGATGGGACCCTGCCCAGATCTTTCAAGGATTTGTGAGCTCCTCACACAATCCAGTCTGGTTAAACCCAGGATGGATCGTAGGCAGGTCAGCCTAAATGTTTCTAACCGGCGAAGATGTTCCATTAGGGGGGTCCACGTTTCGCAAGCGTAGAGAAGGGAGGGAATGACCGTGGCCGAGAAGACCTGAAGCTTAGTGCGGAGCGACAGACCAGGTAGCTTCCACACAGCGTTACGCAACCGATGAAAAGATATTGCCGCTCGACTGATTCGGAGTGAGACCTCTGCTGTTAAACTGGAGCCAGTCATAAGCACACTGCCCAGGTATGGGAAACTCTCCACTCTCTCCACTACTGCCCCATCACCGATTGGGAGTTGTGGTGGTGGAGTGTCCGATGGTACAAAATACCCAGGTAGGTGCTTAGTTTTGGTGGGGCTGATGGTAAGGCCCCACCTCTTAGTGGCACGCTCCAGTCTCAGCAGCAGCGTCTGCAACTCCTCCTCTGACTGAGCAGCTATTACCAAGTCATCAGCATACATAACGTGGTTGAGCAATAGGGAGCCATCCCTTGACCGCACCCGGGCATCGATTAGCCTCCCATTATATCTGTACCATATGGAGATTCCCCCGGTACAGCTATTGAAGGCTTCACGAACTACGTGGTCAAAATAGATGTTAAATAATGTGGGAGCCAGAGGACATCCCTGTCGCACCCCAAGGTGTACAGGGAATGGCTCTGACTCCCGGCCACGTAGTTTTACCCGGGCCCGCTCACCATCATGAAGGTCCTTAATGATCGTGAGCAGAGGGTCAGGTACTCCAAAAGCACGAAGAACGACCCAGAGCCCAGGCCTACTGATGGTATCATAGGCCTTGACCAGGTCAATAAAGCAGAGATGTAGGTCTTGTTGGAATTCCCTACACCTCTGCTGTAGCAGACGGACAGAAAATATGGCATCTGTGCAGGACCGCCCTTTCCTGAAACCGCATTGGGGCTCCGCAAGCCTCTCCTCAGCGTGCCTGGCAAGGCGATGCTGAATAATTCTTGCCAGGACCTTTCCCGGCACACTGAGGAGTGAGATGCCCCTGTAGTTGTTACAGTCTGTGCGGTCCCCCTTCTTAAAAAGGGGGACCACCAGGGCATCCTTCCAATCCTGCGGAACCCGTCCAGTGGTCCAGACTGTTGTTATGATGTCATATAGGGCAGTCTGTGCACAAACGCCACCCTCCCTCAGCATTTCGCTTGGGAGATCATCTCTGCCCGCTGCCTTTCCTGGTCTCAGACTCCGGATCGCCTTCAATACTTCCTCAGCAGATGGCACCTCAGCCAGCCACTCACAGGGGGTGACTTCATCCAATATTTGAGGCACCGCAGCCTCAGCAGGGTCATCCTCACTTTGTGCCACGATGTTTTCCTGGCTGTGGGATTTTCCCTCCCCCAGGACCTCACAGAAATGCTCAGCAAATCTGCGAACCTGTTCTTGGGGGTCGGAAATTGGATCACCGTTTTTTCCCCTAATGATGGTAATAGGTGTGGCGCTGCAGGTTACTTTTTTGATGGAGTTAAATAGCGATTTGTGATCACGGGCCACTGAGGCAGACTCCATCTCCTCAGCAACCCGCGACCACCACCCATCCTTGCAGCGCCTCACGGCTCTCCGAACCTCCGAGCGAAGGCTGCGGTAAGCCTCCTCATTCTCTGACGTGGGATTCTGTAGCCGATGACAGTGGGCCTGTCGCTTTTTCTCAACCATCCTGAACAACTCCTCTGTCATCCAGGGTGTCTGGGGAGGTCTGGACCGCGTACCCAAAGCAGCCATTGCAGCTGCATGAGTCACAGTCCTAAACCTCGCCCATTTACCCTCGACATCAGGAGGAGTCGGGGACGATGCCAATCCCAGCCGCAAGCGATGATGAAATTCTCGCTTGCAACTTTCATCAGATAACTGAGACCAGGCCACTTTAGGTTGGAATGGGGTCCTGGGTGTACACCCACCACCGGAGTGGAAGAATGGCAGGCGCATCTTACAGATGACTAGTCGATGGTCAGTGGGCAGATCAGCTCCACGGTAGGTCCTGGTGTCAAGGACATGGGCTCGCATTCGCTGGTCCGTCACTATGTAGTCCAGCAGATGTTCTTGCTTGTACCCGGCATGCATCCATGATGTTGTGTGGATGCGCCGATGCCGGAACAGCGTGTTGGTAATTACAAGCCCATGGGCTGCACAAACATTTAGCAGCCTCCTGCCGTTGTTATTGAGCTGATCTGGCCCATGCCTTCCAATCACTCCAGACCAGGTGCCAGCATCATGACCAACTCGGGCATTGAAGTCACCCAACAAGATGACTCTATCCCGAAGGGCCACTTTAGCCAGCACCTGTTACAGGAGGTCATAGAAGGCATCTGACTCATCGGCCTTGCCTGCATCCCTCCACGGATGTTCATCTTCGATGGGGGCATAAGTAACCACGACCACCACTCCTCGCCTCCGGTTGATGGAAAGGCGAGCCCAAAGTAGCCTGGGGCTTACAGCTTCCCACACCTCACCGCCACGCTCCCACGCCCCCTTCATTCTTTTGTTCAGAGGAAGAGCCACACCCTGTTGTTTGGCAGTCTGCTGCCCCGAGTAGAAGGAGCCAGAGCCGGTCCACCGGACCTCCTGAATGCCACAGAGAGCCAGGCGGTACCGGTCCAGCTCCCGACAGAGGAGTGGCAGCCTCTCCTCCGCAGTGAGCGTTCGAACATTCCACGTGGCCACCCGTAGTGGCTTTTCGTTGTTTCTGGAGGAGCCCCGAGGGTAGATATTCAATCTCCTGGCTCCGCCAATTGGGGTTTGGCCAGGAGACGTCATAGACGCCTGTCCCCCCGGGGCCTCCGGCACAAGCTTATTAGTTACATATTTTAGATGTGGTTTAGTGGTAATTTATTGAAGGTGGAGGGGTTACCACCACCATCACCATCACCACCACCATCACCACCACCATCACCACCACCATCACCACCACCACCACCATCACCACCACCACCAACACCATCACCATTTGCAGTAGCAATGTCTCCCATATGGCCCCGTGTCTCCCCGTGTCTCCCCCGTGTCTCGCCGTGTCTTCCCCGTGTCTCCCCCGTGTCTCCCCGTGTCTCCCCCGTGTCTCCCCCGTGTCTCCCCCGTGTCTCCCCGTGTCTCCCCCGTCTCTCCCCGTGTCTCCCCGTGTCTCCCCCCGTGTCTCCCCCCGTGTCTCCCCCTGTCCCCCCGTGTCTCCCCCCGTGTCTCCCCCCGTGTCTCACCGTGATCTCCGCCATCTCCCCGTGTCTCCCCGTGTCTCCCCCCCGTGTCTCCCCCCATGTCTCCCCGTGTCTCCCCCCGTGTCTCCCCCCGTGTCTCACCGTGATCTCCGCCATCTCCCCGTGTCTCACCCCGTGTCTCCCCCCCGTGTCTCCCCCCGTGTCTCCCCGCCGTGTCTCACCGTGATCTCCGCCATCTCCCCGTGTCTCCCCGTGTCTCCCCGTGTCTCCCCCGTCTCTCCCCGTGTCTCCCCCGTGTCTCCCCCCGTGTCTCCCCCCGTGTCTCCCCCTGTCCCCCCGTGTCTCCCCCCGTGTCTCCCCCCGTGTCTCACCGTGATCTCCGCCATCTCCCCGTGTCTCCCCGTGTCTCCCCCCCGTGTCTCCCCCCATGTCTCCCCGTGTCTCCCCCCCGTGTCTCCCCCCATGTCTCCCCGTGTCTCCCCCCGTGTCTCCCCCCGTGTCTCACCGTGATCTCCGCCATCTCCCCGTGTCTCACCCCGTGTCTCCCCCCCGTGTCTCACCGTGATCTCCGCCATCTCCCCGTGTCTCCCCGTGTCTCCCCGTGTCTCCCTCGTCTCTCCCCGTGTCTCCCCCGTGTCTCCCCCCGTGTCTCACCGTGATCTCCGCCATCTCCCCGTGTCTCACCCCGTGTCTCCCCCCCGTGTCTCACCGTGATCTCCGCCATCTCCCCGTGTCTCCCCGTGTCTCCCCGTGTCTCCCCCGTCTCTCTCCGTGTCTCCCCCCGTGTCTCTCCCCGTGTCTCCCCCCGTGTCTCCCCCCGTGTCTCACCGTGATCTCCGCCATCTCCCCGTAGACCCCCTGTTCAAGCCGTGTCTCCACGTCCACGAGTCTCAGCGTCTCCTCCAGCAGCTGTCTCACGCTCGCGTCCATCTCCCGAGACAGCAGAGACCGCGGCAGTGCGGACATCGTCCTCCCCGTGTCTCCCCGTGTCTCCGCGTCTCCACGTGTCTCCGCGTCTCCCCGTGTCTCCCCTTCTCCCCGCGTCTCAGCGCTTTGGGGTGTCTCCGTGTCTCCCCGTGTCCCCGGATCTCCCCGTGTCTCCGTGTCTCCACGTGTCTCCCCTTCTCCCCGTGTCTCAGCGTCTCCACGTGTCCCCGCGTCTCCCCGTGTCCCCGCGTCTCCCCGTGTCTCCGCTTCTCCCCGTGTCTCAGCGTCTCCCCGTGTCTCAGCGTCTCCCCGTGTCCCCGCGTCTCCCCGTGTCCCCGCGTCTCCCCGTGTCCCCGCGTCTCCCCGTGTCTCGGACGCGGACAGCTTCCCGATGGCCAACACGAGCCACAGACGTGTCTCTGCATCGCATCTCCCCCCCGTGTCTCCCCCCGTGTCTCCCCCCGCGTCTCGTCCCCCGCGTGTCTCCCCCCGTGTCCGCGTGTCCGTGTCTCCCAGGAGGACACGGGTGAGGTGGAGACGCGCCTCACGCACCGATTCTCTCCCCAAGGTCGGACAGAACTCCCCCAGCGTCTGCGGGGAGACACACGGAGGAGAGACGCGGAGGAGAGACAGAAACACAGAGACACGGGGAGACACGGAGGAGACGCGGGGAGACACGGAGGGGAGACACGGGGAGACACGGAGGGGAGACATGGAGGAGACGCGGAGAGACACAGGGATTCAAGGGGAGACATGGGGAGACACAGAGACACGGAGAAAGACACGGGGAGACACGGAGGAGACACGGAGGAGACGCGGAAAAGAGACACGGGGAGACACAGAGACACAGAGACACAGAGACACGGGGAGACACGGAGGAGACGCGGGGAGACACGGGGAGACGCGGGGAGACGCGGGGAGACACAGGGATTCAAGGGGAGACATGGGGAGACACAGAGACACGGAGAAAGACGCGGGGGGACACGGAGGAGACACGGAGGAGACAGGGGGAGACACGGAGGAGACACGGAGGAGACACGGGGAGACACAGAGACACGGGGATTCAAGGGGAGACACGGGGAGACACAGAGAGACACGGGGAGACACGGGGAGACGCGGGGAGATGCGGGGAGACACGGAGATTCACGGGGAGACACAGAGACATGGAGAAAGACACGGGGAGACACGGGGAGACACGGGGAGAGACGGGGAGACGCGGGGAGACGCTGGGAGACACGGGGAGACACGGGGATTCAAGGGGAGACATGGGGAGACACAGAGACACGGGGAGACACAGAGAAAGACACGGGGAGACACGGGGAGAGACATCGGGGGAGACACGGGGGGAGACACGGGGAGACACGGGGAGAGACACCGGGGGAGACACGGGGAGAGACACGGGGAGACACGGGGACAGACGGAGACATGGGGAGACACGGGGAGACACGGGGAGAGATAGAGACATGGAGAGAGAGAGGGAGACAGACAGAAAGACAGGGAGACAGACAGGGAGACAGGGAGACAGAGAGACAGGGAGACAGGGAGGGGGACAGGGGGACAGACAGACAGACAGGGAGACAGACAGGGAGACAGACAGACAGAGAGACAGGGAGACGTACCCAGGCAATGAGACGCAGGAGACGTGGAGACAGGGGGACAGGGAGACGTGGAGACAGGGAGACAGGGAGACGTGGAGACAGGGAGACAGGGAGATGTGGAGACAGGGGGACAGGGAGATGTGGAGACAGGGGGACAGGGAGATGTGGAGACAGGGAGACAGGGAGATGTGGAGACAGGGAGACAGGGAGACAGACAGACAGAGAGACAGGGAGACAGACAGGGAGACGGAGAGACAGGGAGACGTACCCAGGCAATGAGACGCAGGAGACGTGGAGACAGGGGGACAGGGAGACGTGGAGACAGGGAGACAGGGAGACGTGGAGACAGGGAGACAGGGAGATGTGGAGACAGGGAGACAGGGAGATGTGGAGACAGGGAGACAGGGAGATGTGGAGACAGGGAGACAGGGAGATGTGGAGACAGGGGGACAGGGAGACGTGGAGACAGGGGGACAGGGAGATGTGGAGACAGGGAGACAGGGAGATGTGGAGACAGGGAGACAGGGAGACGTGGAGACAGGGAGACAGGGAGATGTGGAGACAGGGGGACAGGGAGATGTGGAGACAGGGAGACAGGGAGACAGGGGGACAGGGAGACGTACCCAGGCAATGAGACGCAGGAGACGTGGAGACAGGGGGACAGGGAGATGTGGAGACAGGGGGACAGGGAGACGTGGAGACAGGGAGACAGGGAGATGTGGAGACAGGGAGACAGGGAGACGGAGAGACAGGGAGACGTACCCAGGCAATGAGACGCAGGAGACGTGGAGACAGGGGGACAGGGAGATGTGGAGACAGGGGGACAGGGAGATGTGGAGACAGGGAGACAGACAGACAGACAGAGAGACAGGGAGACAGACAGGGAGACGGAGAGACAGGGAGACAGGGAGATGTGGAGACAGGGAGACAGGGAGATGTGGAGACAGGGAGACAGGGAGATGTGGAGACAGGGGGACAGGGAGATGTGGAGACAGTGGGACAGGGAGACAGGGGGACAGGGAGACGTACCCAGGCAATGAGACGCAGGAGACGTGGAGACAGGGGGACAGGGAGACGTGGAGACAGGGAGACAGGGAGATGTGGAGACAGGGAGACAGGGAGATGTGGAGACAGGGGGACAGGGAGATGTGGAGACAGGGGGACAGGGAGATGTGGAGACAGGGAGACAGGGAGACGGAGAGACAGGGAGACGTACCCAGGCAATGAGACGCAGGAGACGTGGAGACAGGGGGACAGGGAGATGTGGAGACAGGGGGACAGGGAGATGTGGAGACAGGGGGACAGGGAGATGTGGAGACAGGGGGACAGGGAGACAGGGGGACAGGGAGACGTACCCAGGCAATGAGACGCAGGAGACGTGGAGACAGGGGGACAGGGAGATGTGGAGACAGGGAGACAGGGAGACAGGGAGATGTGGAGACAGAGAGACAGACAGGGGGACAGACAGGGGGACAGGGAGACGTACCCAGGCAATGAGACGCAGGAGACGTGGAGACAGGGGGACAGGGAGATGTGGAGACAGGGGGACAGGGAGATGTGGAGACAGGGAGACAGACAGACAGACAAGGAGACAGGGAGACAGACAGGGGGACAGGGAGACGTACCCAGGCAATGAGACGCAGGAGACGTGGAGACAGGGGGACAGGGAGATGTGGAGACAGGGGGACAGGGAGATGTGGAGACAGGGAGACGTACCCAGGCAATGAGACGCAGGAGACGTGGAGACAGGGGGACAGGGAGATGTGGAGACAGGGGGACAGGGAGATGTGGAGACAGGGGGACAGGGAGACGTACCCAGGCAATGAGACGCAGGAGACGTGGAGACAGGGGGACAGGGAGATGTGGAGACAGGGATCTGGCGTCTCCCTCACGCAGCAGACGCAGGAAGTAGCGCACGGACGAGACACGGAGACACGAGCCTGGGACAAGGAGACACACAGAGACACACACAGACACACACATAGAGACACACACACAGAGACACACACAGAGACACACGCACAGAGACACACGCACAGAGACACACACAGAGACACACGCACAGAGACACACGCACAGAGACACACACACAGAGACACACACAGAGACACACGCACAGAGACACACACACACAGAGACACACACACAGAGACACACACAGAGACACACACAGAGAGAATCACACACAGACACACGCAGAGACACACACAGAGACACACACAGAGACACACACAGACACACACACACAGACACACACACAGAGACACACACACAGAGACACACACACAGAGACACACACACAGAGACACACACACAGAGACACACACAGAGACACACACACAGAGACACACACACACAGAGACACACACACACAGAGACACACACACAGAGACACACACACACAGACACACACAGAGACACACACACAGAGACACACACACAGAGACACACACACAGAGACACACACAGAGACACACACAGAGACACACACACAGAGACACACACAGAGAGAATCACACACAGACACACGCAGAGACACACACAGAGACACACACAGAGACACACACAGACACACACACACAGACACACACACAGAGACACACACACAGAGACACACACACAGAGACACACACACAGAGACACACACAGAGAGACACACACAGAGACACACACACACAGAGACACACACACACAGACACACACAGAGACACACACACAGAGACACACACACAGAGACACACACACAGAGACACACACACAGAGACACACACAGAGACACACACAGAGAGAATCACACACAGACACACGCAGAGACACACACAGAGACACACACAGAGACACACACAGACACACACACAGAGACACACGCACAGAGACACACACACAGAGACACACACACAGAGACACACACACACAGAGACACACACACAGAGACACACACACACAGACACACACAGAGACACACACACAGAGACACACACAGAGACACACACACAGAGACACACACACAGAGACACACACACAGAGACACACACACAGAGACACACACAGAGACACACACAGAGACACACACAGAGACACACACAGAGACACACACAGAGACACACACAGAGACACAGACAGAGACACACATACAGAGACACATACAGAGACACACACAGACACAGAGACACACGCAGAGAGACACACACAGACACAGACACACGCAAGAGACACACACAGAGACACACACACACAGAGACACACGCAGAGAGACACACACAGACATACACAGAGACAGACACAGAGACACACACACAGAGACACACACAGAGACACACACAGATACACAGTGAGTGAGGGGGTGGGTGAGTGGGTGGGTGAGTGAGTGAATGTGAGTGAGTGAGTTGGTGAGTGAGTTGGTGAGTGGGTGAGTGAGTTGGTGAGTGAGTGAGTGAGTTGGTGAGTGAGTGAGTGGGTGAGTGACTGAGTGAGTGAGTGAGTGGGTGTGTGAGTGAGTGAGTGGGTGAGTGACTGAGTGAGTGTATAGGTGAGTGAGTGAGTCTCCCCTCACCACCCTCGCCGTGCTGGTGAGCGGCTGGTGAGTGTAGAGGGTGAGTGAGGCTGA